AACATTGGTGCAAATTTTATTAAATTCGGAAGATATCGATTTTAAAAGTTGGGTCACTTGACATACATATATAATATAACGAATCTTTTATTGGAAAAGCATTTACGAAAAAGTTCAAAAATTATAATATAAAATTATTTTAAAATCACAAATATAAAATTTGAATTAATGTAAAATTTGAACGGAAAAAGATATCGTAACATATAAAGATCCAAGTCTTTAAAGTTGGGTCACTTGACATACATATATATTATAACGGATCTTTTATTGGATAAGCATTTACGATAATATAAAAATATTTTTAAATCACAAATATAAAATTTGAATTAAAGTAAAATTTGAACGGAAAAATATATCGTAATATATAAAGATCCAAGTCTTTCTAAAATAATACCGTTACCAGTTATCTCTTTTCCTATATACACAAATACCGAAATTCCTTAAGCGGAAAAAATGTGTTCGAAAAAAATTGTTTTTTTGATAAAGGTGACCACTGTGAGGTTTTTTACCATGCGATAGTAGAAATACTTTGTATATATTTAAGAAACATATGTATATGGCTTCGTTTCAAAAAACAAAATGTTTCCCGTTTTTGTGATATCACAACTTTTAAGAAGGTTTTTGTATCAGTGATCACAATCCTGTAATAATTTTTTCAAAATTCCAACTCCATCTGCATATCTGAGGCGGAAACTACTGATTTTGAGGGACATTTTTTACATAGCAGAATCTGCAGGATTAATAGGAAATCATGCTTTAATAATTGATTTTATAGGACAAATCGGTAAGAATGAGCTCAATTTCACACTTTTATAATGCTCCAAAAGTGCATTTAGAATTATCCAAAGATGCACTTTTTTAAAAAAATATTTCAAAAATTTTTTCTTTACGCATAATTTTTTGCTGAAAAAATGGTGCAAAACAAAAATTCTATCATTAAACCTTTAGATGTGATGAGACTTTAAATTTTCAGATTTTAAACTTTACAACGCTATATTTCGCAAACCACGAAAGTTATAAAATTTGTCATTATACAAGTTATATATGGAACATTAATTGGGTGGAGTTTTATTAAATTCGGAGGTGATGATGAAAAACACCATTATTATTAACCCACAAGTTAACATTATAACCATTGAATATTATATTTTCGAATGATAAGATCAAGTTTTGAACATTTTTTTTTTAAAAATTGCATTTTTTTTTTTTCTTTTGCTCTTATGCATTTATAGTGCATCCAAATTCTGCCAAATTAAGTTTATATATCTTAAATTTTCGTGTAGAATAGTATACTAAAGTCGAATTTGAAATATGTTCAGCAGTTTTCTGTCTATCAAAAAATGTCGCCCAAAATCAGTGTTTTGGCCACAGATATGCAGATGAAGGAGTTGAAATTTTAAAACAATAATTACGCCAATATTAGTGCTGATCCAAAAACTTTCATAAACGGTATGATATCACAACTTCAAAAATATTGCGTGAAGCCTAATAAATATGGACCTGTTGTAGGGATAGGTGCTTTGCGTTTTTAAAATTTTTTATTCAAATCAAAATATTTTTTTCAAAATTGACCAAGTTCAAATGGGGCCTGTTGGGGCAACGTCCGCTTAAATGAGCCAATAATTTCGGATAATAAAAAACTTGTATAAAGTCCTGAAGAATTTTTTCTATTGAAGAAAGAATATGGGGACTTTTTTGGAAAAAAAAAACACGTCACTTTTTACATGTTGCAACTTTGAATGCGTCTAACTTTATATAGGGACAAAATAACTGTTGAGAAGTTTTTCGTTTTATTTAGAAATTTGTCAGAAAACTAGTGGATATTTTTAAAAAACATTTAAAAAGTAAAAACAGATCGGGTAAATTTAAGAATAAAAAAATTTAAATATCTCTTAAAGCTAAAGCTCATTTTGATTATAAATGGATTTTTAGCGACTTAAAAAAAATTAATACCCGAGATTATCAACTTTAAGCTGCTACCCACTGGCCCACATTCCGTCCTCGACCAACTACATCTGTTAATCAAATCGAAAACACCTCAGCTCCAAACATGTGAAATTTCATTGCGATATATCCAATAGTTTCAGAGATAACGAATTGTTTCCAAAAATAAAACTGCGTTAGTTGTTGCTGTTTTATGTTTTGCTGAAGTAACGGTAGAGGTTGAAAATATAAATAAATTTAAATGTTATAAAGTTCAACTTATTAAAAACACACTAAGGTGAAGGATATATAAGATTCGGCGAAGGCAAACATTGAACTCTTACTTGTTTTGTTTATATTTGTTGCTTTTAGTTGAGTTAATATATTGATGAAGGAAATGTTCCCTACATTTGACACTGGTGCTAGGTAAAATCGATATTAACTGTTTTCAATACTTACCAAACCCTGATGATATCAGAGAATATCGCGTCTTCAACAACTATGTCAACTACATACATATATACATATAAAACGATTGGTCGGTCAGTGGTTAATTATGCTGCTCCAGTGTGGTCACCTTCGCTCAGTGATACCCAGTGGAGAAAAATTCAAAGCTGCCAAATGCCGCCCTAAGGACTCTAACGAGCTGCTTACAAATTACCTCGGAACATATTAGAATGAAAGAGCTCATTAATAGTAATATATTCCGTTCTAAATCAAAAAATCTAACATGAACTCTCATAGATATAAGCCTTCAACGTTTTATACATTTTTGATTTTTTGTAGTTTTCGAACAAATTAAAACCGCCATAAAATCGCGTTTTTTTAATTTTTATACCCTCTATAATTTGTCATTCCTTGTGTAACACCAAGAAATATTCGTCTGAGACCCAACGAAGTATATATATTCTGGGTCCTTATCAAATTCTGAGTCGATTTAGCTATGTCCGTCTGTCTGTGTAACACACGCTCACGATAAAACGAAGCAATGGAGTTTAACTAAATTCACCCAAAATGTGCTTCATTTTCCTTGGTATTGAAAATGGGCAAAATCGGTTCACACCGGGAAAAGTTATGAATCAAAATTTAAAACAACCTCGATAAAAAAAAGCATTTTTGCAAATTCTGATGTAATTTTCTCGAAAACAATGCAAGATAATTACATGAAAATCACCATACATTCGTTTCTACACAAGGGCTTGATCTCTACTGAAAATTGCTAGAATCGGTCCACAATTTTATATATATATTTTTAAACCTGCATTAGCTTTAACTTTTCGTACCAAATAGTCCGAGCACTGAGCTAACCGGGCAGATTTCCTACCGGATGTGTTGGGAGCTCTTTTGGAAATGCTTTCTATTTTTTTGGCTTTAGAAACATCATGTGGACCATTCCTTCCACCTGAATCAGCTTTTCTATCAACGGACAAGTTCTCCCGGTACTGTTTAATAATATTTAATATTTAATATTTTTTTGGCTTTAGAAACATCATGTGGACCATTCCTTCCACCTGAATCAGCTTTTCTATCAACGGACAAGTTCTCCCGGTACTGTTTAATAACATTGGAAATAGTTTGACGGCGGACCTTTGTATGCTTGGTCAACTTTTTGTTGGGTTTTGTTGAAAATATTTAATAAATTCAGTACGTACTTTCTTCTGGTCACTCATTTTAATTAGATTAACAACAAATTATTATAATTGACATTAAACATAATAACTGACATGTTTTATAAGGTAACTGAATCAAAAAAATAAATCAAATAATACTTAAAAGTTATAATGGGAAACGTGAGTTAAGAATTTTTCGATCTCACTCCTTAAATGTTCAATATCTTACAAATGAAATGACAAAGCAGTATAACCATTCAACTCATTATAAAATTTCGCAGAAAATTTTGTTTAATTTCAAACTTATTTAAACCTTTCAAAAAAATATTTTGGGAGGACAATATACTTTTGAGTGTGTAGTGCAACCAAATTCTAAAAAAGAACTTAGTTGTCTTTGCAAATAATCTCTTACCGTAGGTGTGAACTCAAAATAATGTTCTTATTTTTATACCCACCATCAAAAACGATGGGGGCATATTATATTTTTCATTCCGTTTGTAACACATCGAAATATTGGTCTAAGACCCATGAAAGTATATATATTCTTGGTCCTTATTAGATTCTAAGACGATCTAGCCATGTCCGTTGGTCTGTTGAAAACACGATAGAGTCCAAACGGAACGCGCTAGACAGCAGAAATTTAGCACAGATTACCAGTATAGCAACGAAATTCGACATATAAATGTTTTTGCCATTCCGTATGTAACACATCGAAATATTTGTCTAATACCCATAAAGGTATATATATTCTTGGTCCTTATTAGATTCTAAGACGATATAGCCATGTTCGTCGGTCTGTCTGTCTGTTGAAAATCGATAGAGTCCTAACGGAACAAGCTAGACAGCTGAAATTTTGCACAAATTTCCAGTATAGCAACGAAATTCGACATATACCTGTTTTATAGGACTAAAAATCTCTTTATAAGGTCCCCTTCAGACAATGGCTATAACCCTCATAACTCGCTTCAAAATGCCAGTATAGCAACAAAATTCGACATATACATGATTTATAGGAACTAAAGCCTCTCTGTCAAATTTTATGAGGTCAGTAATTGACCCTACCACCCATACATGATAACCTTTAGAAAATTATTATAACTGTCAATAAAGCGCCAAAATTCCAAATAAACTAGTTTTAACGGAAATAAAATCTCTCCGTCAAATTTTTGAGAATCGGTCAATAATTGACCCTACCCCCATATAAGATCCTCTTCAGAAAATGAATATAACGCTCAAAGCTTTCTTCTAAATGCCAGTAATAAAATTCTACATAATCAAGTTTTATGGGAAATTAAATTAATTAAAAGGATCGATTCCTATAGTATAGGACCACTTTTCGAAATTCACTTGAAATACATATATGGCTGATATTGATTTGTTATTATTATTTTATTTATATTATTTACTTTGCTATAATTTGTTATTTCAAATTTAACAGGTAGTAAATAAACATTTTCCATTCCTCAGGTGCGGAGACTCCCAGTGTTATTTTTATATGGAAATTGGAAGACAAAGTTCGCTTGGTCCAGGCGAGTTATGGATGGAGACAGAAGATTCTTTAACAGCTCAAAATATGCATAGAATGATTCTAAGGTAAATTATAACAAATTACTTAATTTAGATAGAAACTTCTTATTATTCCACCTCCGTAGGATTTTAAACATACAAAAATACGAGATTGTCAAATTGAAAACAAAGTGTTTACTATGATAATAGGGGCTTTTTTTAATCACTGGAATTATGTTGGATTTATTTTATTTCAAGAAAAAACTATCTTAAAATACACAGTGTAAGCTAATATTAGGTCAAAGAATTTTAGAGCAAAAACGGCGGTTCTGCAGCTAAAAGAAGTAAATCCAATTTGGATTTATTAAATCCAATTTCCTGTAACTAAAATATTGCACACATGATATTTCAGTGCAAATATACATTTTTGGAAGAAATTGATACAAATTTTATAAAAAATTTATAATTGTACTGTTAAATTTTGAAATGACTCCATCTGTTGCCCGCTGCTGTCATTATGATTTGAAATTTGTTTAGCCTCGATTAGAACCTTATATACATACCAAGTAAACAATTTTTTCAGACATGTCTGATGTAAGAAATTTTCTGAAATAATTCTTATACTTTATCAGAATTTTTAACGAATTTCTAAATTTCCTTTAGACATTTTACAGAATAATTAGAAGATAAGAATTATATCCGATAAATCTGCACATAATCTAAAGAGAATTGTTTTTGTAACTTCGTCAGACAATTAAGCGAATAATATAAATTTCCTTTAGATATTTAACAGACTGCACATTTTCTGATATTTTTTGCCCGGTCATTTTGTTCCCATTTTCAGTACTTTTGTAAGAAAACTTTGCGACAACTCTGCACATTATCTGAAGGATTTTTTTTAATAAAAACATGCACAAACCTGTTTATATTTTTAAATTCGTAAACTGTACTTTAAAAGGGAATTTAATTTTGTATTTTCTTTTATCAAGTAAACAACATCTGCATGCATATGTGATGATTATTGTTTAAATTTCTTTAAACTTTGTTAATACATAAAAATTAGCAAAAAATTACATCATTTTTATGGTTTAATATTATAATTTTAAATAGATGTATATAATGAACTCTATTTTCGTATATAATATGTAAGTAGTATAGTCTAATTTTATTAATTTTAAAAATAATCTATAAGTTTCTATTATTTATTTATGTACCTTAAGACGTCATGAATAATGGAAGCTTATAAATTATTATTAAAATTAATAAAATTAAACCATAATAAATTATATATATATGAAAATAGTTTTCACCAGACGTTGATCGGAATAGTCACGCCATTTTCTTATACTTGATCAGAATTTTGTACGAACTGTCGGACATTTTATCCGACATCTATCAGACTTTTTTATACTTGATCAGAATTTCGTACAAAATGTCGAAAGAATGTCAGACATGGTATCAGACATTTGTCCGACTTCAATCAGATTTGTCGAAAATTCCTTCAGAATTTACCCAAGAATTTACATCAGATTTCGTACCGAATTCTGACCGACAACTCATTTTCAATAATAATGCCTTCAGAAGATATTAAAAAAGCTTGTGTTCAGGCACAACAGAAAAATTACCATTTGCCGTTTTTGATATACTAATAAAATAAGAGACTGAAAAAATATATAAAAACATTGTTAATTGTTTGACTGGGAAAAAAAAAACTCCCCAAATGAGTTTTATTTTCTGATGGAAAAAATAAAACTCCTCAAATAGCTTTTATTTTATGACGGAAAAATATAACTTTTTTTAACTGTTTCAATCAGACTTTTATTTTTCCGTTAAAAAATAACTGTTATTTGTGGAGCTAAGATCGTTTTTATACCCTCCACCACCAGTGGTGATAGAGGGTATAAATAATAAAAAATTTTTGTTTGACAATCACTTCAGTTTCGCCTATATGTATAGTACTACATGGCAAATAATTTCTAATTTCTTTTTGTCTGAGTAATTGTAAAAAATAATGGGAATTTTAATAAAGGTGAATCAATGACATAAACTCCTTAACAAATGTAATACCCGCTACTATGTTAATTCTTGATATACAAGCCTATTTACAACATTATCCTGTAAGTATTTTCAATTAATTGACATTTATAGCACTGTATATGAGCGCAAAAGTTCTTGGAGGATATTTTTATACACCTAACGATCTATTATTTGTTGCATTTTTTAAAATCTCTTTTCTATTTCTTTACTTTTATTTACATGAAGTATATATTAAGATTCATTTTGTATCTAAAATTGCAAATGAATGCATTTCCTAGAGCAATGTTCAAAAATAATAGGTCGTGTTTAAATTTTTTCAAATCCTATTCATAAAAAATCCAGAAATTTTAATGTTTTTTTGTTATTTATAATACAGTACACTGTAAAGTAGTGAAGTCACTACACCAAAAACACTAAACAATTTTACAAACTTTTCTTCAGTGCATGGAATGCAAAAACACAAAGTGAAGTAGTGTTAGTGTGGAAAGAAAATCTTATCTTAATTTAATGCAAAAACTTTTGCATTAACATTAAATTTGCAAAATTTAATGCATTAAATTTGCATTAACATTAAATATTTTTGAATTTAATGCATTAATTTTACATTAACATTAAATATTTTCGAAATTAATGCATTAATTTTACATTAACATTAATTATGTAATAAAATTAATGCATTAATTTTCCATTAACATTAATATACCCAGGAAAAACTTACATTGAAAAGTAATGAGTTAAATAGCTAATAAAACCTCTTTTCACTACTTCTTCATTAGCATTTTAAGTCATTATTTTAACACGGTGATGTCATTGGAGGCAAGTACTTCTACGCACGCTTACAAATAGGGACTTAAAGAAGTACTTGCAATTTCCCTTACAAAACAGTTGTTGAGTAAGTTGTTTTGTTTTTTAATAATAAAAAGAGCCAGCTAGAATACGAACCAGGGGCTTCGGTTTGTTAGTCAAATGTTCTACACACTGCACCACTGCTTAGCTATTTTATTGCGCGTCAAATAATGGTTTTCACAAACAAAACTAATTTTTTTTTTATTTTTTTAAAACACAATTCTTAAAACGCAATTAAATAAAATGTGCAAACAAAATGACAAAGCCGAAAATAAAGTACTTCTATATCAGATTATAAGAAAGTCATTACTAGAGTACTTCTATGTAATGCAGACGGTAAGTAATAGTCATTGAAAAGTAAGTGGTTATGGAAGTACAACCCATTACCGAGTTTTTGCTGGGTATATAAAAATTGATAAACATCAATAAAAATACAGCGCCAAAGACCTCGATCTAAATAAATACAATTAAAATTTAATGGGTTGAAGTCCTTTCTAATAATTCCTATATTCCATTCAAATAAATATGATATTTACATTTAAGGTTGTATAAGATTGCACAGTGTGACAAAATAAACAAAAAAAGAATACGTGGGAAGTGATACTATTTTTCTGATGTGTATTATCGAGTATAGGACTAATTAGAAAGGACTTTAATGGAAAATTAATGCATTAATTTTATTACTTATTATATAATGTTAATGGAAAATTAATGCATTAAATTCAAAAATATTTAATGTTAATGTAAAATTAATGCATTAATTTCAAAAATATTTTATGTTAATGTAAAATTATGCATTAAATTCAAAAATATTTAATGTTAATGGAAATTTAAATGTACCCATGTTAATGCAACAAACTTGCATTAACATTAATTTTTTTTAATGGTGAAAAAAATGTTAATGCATTAACATATTTAATGCATTTATCCCAGGTCTGATATATAGACAACTTATGGACCGATCCGGAAAAAAATCCGTAGAATGATTTACATATACAAAATACACATTTATGTCGAATTTTATCCCTATAACTTTGATTGTCAATGTGAGTTGATTTGACTAATTTTCGGAAAAGGTCCTTATATGGGAGTTGTGACCAATAAGGAAAAAATTTCGTATAATGATTTATATGCCCAAACAAAATTCAAGTCGAATTTTACTACAATAGATTTATTAATTAATGAAATATGTGCGTTTAGGTGATTTTCGGAAGTGGACTTTATATATATAGGAGCTATGACCTTACACAAAACATATTTGTGTGGAATTTTATCAAGATATCTTTATTTGATAATGAAATATGTGCGTTTAAGTGATTTTTTTGAAGTGGACCTTATATAGGAGCTATTGCCATATATGGATCAATCCGGAAAAAATTTGGCAGAATGATTTATATGCTCACAAAAGATATTCAAGCCGTACTTTATCCCGATATCTTTATTATTCAAAGAAATATATGCGTTTAAGTGATTTTCGTAAGTGGACCCTCTATGGGAGCCTATACGGAAAAATTTCGTAGAGTGATTCATTTAAAAACAAAACATATTTGTGTCGAATTGTATCAAGCTAACTTTATTTGACAATAAAATGTGTGCGTTTAAGTGATTTTCGGAAGTACCAATAATGTACCGATCCGGGAAAAAAGTGGCAGAATGATTTATATGTACACAAAATATATTGAAGTCGAATTTTATCCTTATAGTTTTAGAATTTACGGAAAAATTTCGTAGAGTGATTCATTTAAAAACAAAACATACTTGTGTCGAATTGTATCAAGATAACTTTATTTGACAATAAAATGTGTGCGTTTAAGTGATTTTCGGAAGTGGGACTTATATGTGAGCTATGCCCAATTATGGGCCCATTCGAAAAAAAATTTCGTAGAGTGACTCATATAAAGACAAAACATATTTGTGTCGAATTTGATCAACATAGCTTTATTTGACAATGAAATGTGTGCTTTTAAGTGATTTTCGGAAGTGGGCCTTATATGGGAGCTATGACCAATAATGGACCTATCCGTAAAAAATTTGGTAGAATGATTTATATGTACACAAAACATATTCAACTCGAATTTTATCATAATATCATTATTTATTAATGAAATATGTGCGTTTAGGTGATTTTCGGAAGAGGACCTTATATGGGAGCTATGACCAATTGTGGACCGACTGAGATCTACGTTGATAGTATGATTTCTTTTCATATTATATTTGCGTGCAAAAAA